TATAAATATATACAGGTGTAGGTTAAGTTTCGGGGACTCGCGTTTTCAGACACACTTTGACATATATTTTGTAAGGCGTATTTTTAATAATACGATTTGTCTATATTTTAGTACATTATTCATAGATTATTTTTACAAAAAAATTAGATAAATTTAAAATTATTAAGACATTCATTTGTATTAAAGAAAACAAACAAATAAAGTTTTGCAAAGAAATGCTAAAATGACTATTTATCAAGAGTGGTCACCCACCACTCAATCTTAATTCAACAATAAAAAAAAAAAAACAACAATAAAAATTAAATGATTTGTTATCGGTAAGTTAAAATCAAACCGTGAATGACCATAATTTTCTTGTACCGAGCGTCTACGAAAAATCTCAAGCAAGACGGGTCTTTGTTATTCTGGAGTGAGATGAGATCACAAGCAGCTAAATAGATCAGAAGAACTCAACTTTGGAGCATTTAAGAGGAAGCCTCAATATCCTCATCTCATGGTCAGCCTGATGGAAGGCCCAACTAATGAGCTTATTGATTTGAATTTGTTTGTTCATATACTTGCATGCAGGTTTCCGAGACTCGGAACCTGGAATTTGACGTCTTCCAGTTGACAAAAATGAAAAGACTTCTCACTTCTTCGAGTTACCAAGAAGCAGAGTTACAGAAACCGAGAGTTCAGTTCTTCTGACCGCAGGTTGATCAGTTCCTTGTTAAGTTGTATAGTATATCTTGTAAAATCTCTGTCAATCTGTTAACCTATCTACATTCTTAGCAGACGTGGCGGCTTACTAGAAATCTGGAAAATTTATATATACTAAATTATGTGCAACCATATTGTATATTGATATGGAGTTTAATCAAGTTAGTTAAAGCAGTGCATTTTCATTTTTGCATTAAATTACTGTTAAATCTTGCTTATCATAATTTATTTAAAATTTATGTAATATATTATCGCTTGTCAAAAGTTAAAAAAAAAAAAAAAAATCCACCAAGAAAACTGACAAAAACTACAAAACTTTAATGAATAATGATATGAATACACGACCCTAAAAGTAGAGCTAAAGCTTGTTTATAAACTATCTCACACCCTAGCGTTGCTATAACAACTCCTTATTAGAAGCAAAATACGAAAGTAACAACGTTCCAACAAAACCCTCAAAAAAATTATGTATTGTCCATTTCCACATTGAAATGCCATGGAATGTTGCACGAGTTTATAAGTGATTATGCCACTTTTCCAGTTGCCAATTAATTTAAGGGTGAAACATGGTATTAGCTCACCCATGAGTGAAGTCCAACAGCCACACATACTCCAAGTTATTCAATATGTGTTGTTCACCTGAAAAATGCAAGGGAGCATATGAGAATGTCAAAGTGTTGACCCACACAATAAAGTCATGAAATTCCTTCACTTACAAGATAAGAGTTCTCTTTGAAACATCATATTATAGGCTCAAAATAGAGATTAGCGTTGTTCTCTTTGAAACTAACTAGGTTCAAATCAGGGATTGGAGCCTAAGCCGTAAATGCTGGATTTCATTGTTTATGGGCTTATGTCTGTCATATTGCTCCTCAGTTCTCTTCAGCCATCCGGTTGAGAAGAGGTTCCTTACTTGGCGACATAACATTTGAGACTAGAAAACTTTCATGCTTGAGAATCCACAAATAGACTTTCCCTTCGCAATGCTATATGCTTGATCACATTGCATGATAATTTTGCCATTTTTTTGACAAATTACTTTATTAGAGTTAACTATATTTCACATCTTTAAGGTTTTGGGTGATTTTCAAAATAGACCACGAAGTTAAAAAAAAAAAAATTTGTATTGCACCATAAGCTATTTAAAATGTACGAATTTATGTCTCAGTCTTATTGATTGTTTGATCATTCATTCAATTACTAACATGGTAAGTATGGTACTTGTGAATGGACTGCCATGTACGCCACATTTGCACTATATTGACAAAAAAATCTCATAAATTTGATGAAGGGTTAGACATTCCAAGGAATGAAAGGTATAATTTGATACAACTTGTAAACTTGAGGATCTCATATGAGAAAATTGAAACCTTATGGTGCATTTTGAAAACTACCTCAAACCTAGAAGGTGTAAAATGTAGTTAGATCATCTAAGGGCTTGTTATACATTTGGTTAACTACACCTTACACTCTCTAGCTTTGAAATGATTTTCAAAACGAGCCATGTGGTTCTAACTTTCTCACATTGAACCTTGAGATTTTGAAATTGTATCAATTTATATCTTTTCTCTTTGAACATCTAGTCCTCCGTAACCTGATTAATTTTTTGTCAATGTGGTGCAAATTTGGCTTACACGTTAGCCATTTTAAAGGCCCCACGCACAACGTGCAATCAATTCAATGAATGGTAAACACGTCAATTCGACTAAAGACTTAAATTGATACAATTTAAAAATCTTAAAGTGTAAATGAGAAAATTGAAACTTCAAGCCCATATTAAAAATCATCCCAAAAATTAAAGGTGTAAAATTTTGTTATCCTTAAATTTTTGTTAATTTAGCTAGTGAATAACGTCAGAATTGTTTTGGCTAACCTAATTTAACTTATCATTTCCAACAACTATGAATAATTTATAAATATTTGTTAAATACTATGAGAGTTTAATATTTTTAATGTTTAGTTTACCATTAAGATCTCTTTCCTCCAATTTTAATTTAGGGAGAGTGACCATTCATTGAGCTAAAGTAACTAGTTTTTTAAGTGTCTTGGAGAAAAATTAGTTTTTTTTTTTTTTTTTGGTAAAATAACTTAAGCAAGAGCAAGTTTATAAGGAGATGCTTTTGCTCCTTTTCTTTAATAAAAAGGAGAAAGAGGAATTGGATTTGAAATCCCGTTCGAAATTAGTTTAAAAAATGCTATTTAACTAAGCAAAAATTCTATAATCCGCTAGATTATAGAATACTTCTAACTTTTTAACCGTTAACTTGATTTTTTTTATATTTTTAAATAAAAATCTAACGAGTAAATGTCTGAAGTATCTCATACTTCACAGCATCAAAAAAAAAAAAAAAAAAAGGAATCCCTAGACATGTTGTGACATCCCACATCACCAGGGAAGTGATCCTTATATGTATATTCCTATCTCTACCTAGCATGAGGCCTTTTGGGAGCTCACTGGCTTCGGGTTCCGTAGGAACTCCGAAGTTAAGCGAGAAAGGGGCTAGAGCAATCCCACGATGGGTGACCCACTGGGAAGTTGCTCGTGAGTTCCCAAAAACAAAACCGTGAGGGAATGGTAAGCCCAAAGCGGACAATATCGTGCTACGGTAGTGGATCGGACCCGGGAAGTGGTCCCACCCGGGCCGGGATGTGACAATTGGTATCAGAGCTTAACCCTGGTCGTGGTGTGCCGACGAGGACGTCGGGCCCCTAAGGGGGGGGTGGATTGTGACATCCCACATCACCAGGGGAGTGATCCATATATGTATATTCCTATCTCTACCTAGCACGAGGCCTTTTGGGAGCTCACTAGCTTCGGGTTCCATGGGAACTCTGAAGTTAAGCGAGTAGCGCGCGAGAGCATTCCCAGGATGGGTGACCCATCGGGAAGTTCTCGTGTGAGTTCCCAGAAACAAAATCGTGAGGGCGTGGTCAGGGCCCAAAGCGGACAATATCGTGCTACGGTGGTGGAACGGGCCCGGGAAGTGGTCCCCCCGGGCCGGGATGTGACAATTTGGTATCAGAGCCTAACCCTGGTCGTGGTGTGCCGACGAGGACGTCGGGCCCCTAAGGGGGGGTGGATTGTGACATCCCACATCACCAGGGGAGTGATCCTTATATGTATATTCCTATCTCTACCTAGTACGAGGCCTTTTGGGAGCTCACTGGCTTCGGGTTCCATGGGAACTTTGAAGTTAAGCGAGTAGCGCGCGAGAGCATTCCCAGGATGGGTGACCCATTAGGAAGTTCTCGTGTGAGTTCCCAGAAATAAAACCGTGAGGGCATGGTCGGGGCCAAAAGCGGACAATATCGTGCTACGGTGGTGGAGCGGGCCCGGGAAGTGGTCCCCCCGGGCCGAGATGTGACACATGTAGTTATTTAACTCATGCTAAAAGAATCCCTACGTGGGAGGTTTGGTGGAAAGTAGAAGTTAGAATGAGGGAGTAAATGCAGTGCAAATAGTATTAAAATCTCAAAAGAGTAGGGAAGATAGGGGATGAGATAAAGGTTGCCGTTTGCATTGCTCAAAGAGGTGTTTTTGCATTTAAGCTTTTCGTGCGTGTCCGTGTCCGTGTCTGTGCCCTCCTTCTGGTAATAAACTTCAAAGCCCGCACTTATTTCGTGATTCACTAACGCCCCGTCGTACGGTCAAACTCCTACATGAGGAAAGTCCCACGGTACACATTCTTTATGCGTTGCTTTTGCTTCTACACGTGCTCTCTCTCTCTCTCTCTCTTCCCTCTCTCTCTCCTCGCCCTCACTCTCCATAACATTTTTTGTTTAAAATATATGAAGTATTCCACTACGTGATAAATTTTTTAGTATATTCGAAATACGGACGATGTATTATATGTCATTATATATGCAGTGAAAAATATACTTATACAATAACATGTAGCATACTAATTCGTATTCTGGATGCATTAAAAAAATCTCTTCCACTATACATTGATATAAAAGTTATATGATATCACTGGACATTCAATGCAATTTCGATAACACATAAATTTGTTAAAGTACAATTGGTCTTCGAATTAAACAGTATGCTAAAACATAATCAATGACTCTAAAAAATGCATCCTTAAAATTGTGAACTCAAAATAAGAATCGTAAACCTTTTCAAACTAGAGATAAAGAAAGAAAGGAGCGACTAAAAGTGGTAAAACAAGTGAAAGCGTAGGAATGAGCTGGAGGGAGATTCCGTGCGTGGGATTCGAGCTGTAATTGAAAGGAGCACAAAGACCTCCTCACTTCCTCTCTTCTTCCTCACCCAACACCCTCTATAAATACTCCCACTACCTCACTTGTTTTCTTCACAACACAACTAGTTGTTTTTCTTCCTCTTCTCCTTCTGCTGCTACTTAACCGGTTTATAGTTACTAATTCAATTCAATTCCAAACAGAACAAGAAATTTAATGGAATTGAATCTCTTGAACTCCATGTTTTGCATCTTTGCCTTTGTTGTCTTCTTCCTCTTTGTCATCAATTCCCTCATCACCAAGCTCTTCACTCCGAACCGCCGGAAAATCCCACTTCCGCCGGGTTCCTTAGGCTGGCCTTACATTGGAGAAACCTTCCAACTCTACTCTCAAGACCCAAATGTCTTCTTTGCCTCAAAACAAAAGAGGTAATAATTCATTTCATTCGTCCCAAACCCACATCGCTCTTAAGTTTTCTGCCTAATTCACCGACTAGTTGGTTTTATGTACTAATGATGTGTTTTAATTTAATTGATAGGTTTGGGTCAATCTTCAAAACTCACATCTTGGGTTGTCCCTGTGTGATGATTTCGAGCCCCGAAGCGGCGAAATTTGTGCTTTCTCGAGCCCATCTGTTCAAGCCAACTTTTCCGGCGAGCAAAGAGAGGATGTTGGGGAAAGAAGCCATCTTTTTCCACCAAGGAGATTACCATGCCAAATTGAGAAAGCTTGTCCTCCGTGCGTTCATGCCGGAAGCCATCAGAAGTATCGTCCCTGACATTGAATCCATTGCCAAAGACTCTCTCAAGTCCTGCCAAGGCCGCTTGATCAACACCTTCCGAGAAATGAAAACGGTAAGTTATTGTAGCAACACCCCCACTCTTTCAACAGAGCAAAGCAAAACAAAACAGAGAGAATCAGAGCTGTAAAGACTAATGTTATCTTGCGAAACTTATGTTGCCATAAAAATTGAGGTGATTAGTCTGATGAGATTGACCGTCATCTAGATTAGTCTGACAAGATTCAACGAGAGAACATTTTCTGTTTTTCTGTAGTGAGAGATTTTTGGTTGATATAATATTAAATTGTTGTACTGATTAATCAATTATTGGTGGTGCAGTTCACATTCAATGTTGCACTCCTTTCTATATTTGGTAAGGATGAGATTCTGTACAGAGAGGATCTGAAGAGGTGCTACTACATTCTTGAGAAGGGTTACAATTCAATGCCCATTAATCTTCCAGGCACGCTGTTTCACAAATCAATGAAAGCAAGGAAGGAGCTGGCTCAGATCTTGGCCAAAATTATATCTACAAGGAGGCAAAGGATGCTGTTAGAGGATGAGGACCACAAGGATCTTCTGGGATCATTCATGGGTGACAAAGAAGGCCTCACTGACCAACAAATCGCTGACAACGTCATTGGGGTCATCTTCGCTGCCCGTGACACCACAGCCAGCGTCTTAACTTGGATTGTCAAGTACCTTGGGGAAAACCCAAGCGTTCTTCAAGCTGTCACTGTAAGCATTCTAATCATCCAATTCCCTTTTTTTTTTATTATTTAAAAACATTCTAATTTCCTTTTTTAGGTTGTAATTAAGTTGTTACTAATATGATGTGATATTTACAGGAAGAGCAAGAAGCAATAATAAGGTCAAAAGAGGAAGAAGAAGAGGAGGAGAAAGTTCTGAGTTGGGCAGATACAAAAAAGATGCCCTTGACTTGTAGAGTGATTCAGGAGACACTAAGAGTTGCTTCCATTTTGTCTTTCACTTTCAGGGAAGCTGTGGAGGATGTTGAATATCAAGGTCAGTAATTACCAAACCAATGATTTACTTTTTCACCTTTTTTTAACATGAAAGTTAGAATCTGTTTGCTGATGATCTCAAATATGGATATGTTTTCAGGTTATCTGATACCAAAAGGGTGGAAAGTTTTACCACTTTTCAGAAACATTCACCACAGCCCAGAAATCTTTCCTGACCCTGACAAGTTTGATCCCTCCAGGTTTGAGGTACACAACTCATCATCCATTCAACATATATAATGGCTACGTTGGAGATAGATGTATGGTGGATAAAGACTCATCACCTTTATGTCGTTGTGTGACACAGATTGCTCCAAAACCCAATACCTACATGCCATTTGGCAGCGGGACCCACGCATGTCCAGGGAATGAATTAGCCAAGCTGGAGATTTTGGTCTTTTTACACCATCTAACAACAAAGTACAGGTGGGTACTTTCACTTATTTTGTTAGTTTTTAATCTTAAGAAAGAGAAAGGAGGATTATCTATTCTTCTAATCTTTCTATCATTTCATACTTTTCTATTTGAATAGTTACTGTTGTGTCACATCAACATCTTATATTGATTTTTTTATAAAGGTAATAAGATAAAAAATAATATGTGAAAAGAGGAGATGAAAGAGGATGGAAATAGGAGAGTAGAGAATTCTCTTCCGAGGAATAGGGTAGGCATGCAGTGGCTGTGCTGTGCCTGTGGCAGTGGCGGCACAGCAGATCTGCTAGCACCTCCTCCTCCTGCTTTAACTTAATTTGTTGATCTGGTTGTGGAGGTGGCTGACATGTTATGTATGTGGCATTGTGCAGGTGGTCTGTGGTTGGTGCACAAAATGGCATACAGTATGGCCCTTTTGCTCTTCCCCAAAATGGCCTGCCCATCAGATTATCTCTTAAAACTATCATATAAAACCCCCATAAATCACAGACTCCCAAAAGCAGTCCAAGTCCCCTACTTTCAGACCCTCTCTCCCCCTTCAAGCCAGCTACTTGACATATATTACCATTTCATGCATGAGGAAGAAACCCACCACTCCAAAGTCCATTTCTTTTTGGCCGAAAGAGATAAGCAACATAAAATAAACACGTGAAATTTAAAGAAACATATCGTACATCTTCATTGCTTTCATCTGTCCCATTAATATCTCAGATGACTGAAAGTCACTGAATATTAGGGACGTGCCCTCCGAAAGTCAGAAAGTTCAAGATACAAGAAATGAAACATGTTGCAGCAGAGGAAGCCAAGTGCACAGAGAAGAGTCTTCCTACCAAAACATGATATGGTTTGTATATCATGTTTTCTTTTTCTTCCCTTAATTTTTTTTAAATTTTTTCTTTTTGGCATGCAAGAGATCATGAAGAGGAAAATTCCTCACCCAATGTGATAAGTGTATTTAAGTAGGTAGGAGTATACTATTTTCACCATAATTTTCTTCTTTACTTAAATAAATGTAAACAGCCGCAAGGCAGAAATGAAGATTCAAATCAATGGAATTAACAAAGTTAATTTTAAGGAAGAGGAAGGAGGATTATCTATCCTCCTAATATTTCTATCATTTCATACCCTTCTATTTGAATGGTTACTGTTATATCACATCATCATTTTATATTGATTTTTTTATAAAAATAATAAGATAAAAAATAATATGTGAAAAGAGGAGATGGAAGAGGATGGAAATATGAAAGTAGAGAATTCTCTTCCGATGAAGAGGGTAGGCATGCAGTGGCTGTGCTGTGCCTGTGGCAGTGGCGGCACAGCAGATCTGCTAGCACCTCCTCCTCCTGCTTTAACTTAATTTGTTGATCTGGTTGTGGAGGTGGCTGACATGTTATGTATGTGGCATTGTGCAGGTGGTCTGTGGTTGGTGCACAAAATGGCATACAGTATGGCCCTTTTGCTCTTCCCCAAAATGGCCTGCCCATCAGATTATCTCCTAAAACTATCATATAAAACCCCCATAAATCATAAACTCCCAAAAACATTCCAAGTCCCCAACTTTCAGACCCTCCCTCACCCTTCAAGCCAGCTACTTGACATATGTTACCATTTCATGCATGAGGAAGAAACCCACCACTCCAAAGTCCATTTCTTTTTGGCCGAAAGAGATAAGCAACATAAAATAAACACGTGAGATTTAAAGAAACATATCGTACATCTTCATTGCTTTCATCTGTCCCATTAATATCTCAGATGACTGAAAGTCACTGAATATTAGGGACGTGCCCTCCGAAAGTCAGAAAGTTCAAGATACAAGAAATTAAACATGTTGCAGCAGAGGAAGCCAAGTGCACAGAGAAGAGTCTTCATACCAAAACATGATATGGTTTGTATATCATGTTTTCTTTTTCTTCCCTTAATTTTTTTTTTTTAATTTTTTCTTTTTGGCATGCAAGAGATCATGAAGAGGAAAATTCCTCACCCAATGTGATAAGTGTATTTAAGTAGGTAGGAGTATACTAATTTCACCATAATTTTCTTCTTTACTTAAATAAATGTAAACAACCGCAAGGCAGAAATGAAGATTCAAATCAATGGAATTAACAAAGCTAATTTTGTTCTTATATTCATTATTTCAGTTTTAACCTCTTACTTGCATGCATCGTAACATCCCACTATTAGCACTAGTATATATTTACTTTGATTATCATAGTTGCTTTACATGGGCATGGTACTAATGGCAACTTAAAATAAGCGACCTCAAGCTAGTCTATAGAACGCATGAAAATTATTAATAGCACTCTTTAGAAAATTATGTGCATGGCTCATTTATCAAAATGTAAAATAACAATTGTACTTCTTAGAGTGCATGATGGTTTTTTTATTTAGCGCCAATAACAACTTTTAAAGAAAAAAAAAATCAATCATTCTTAAGCGAAGATAAATATTTTGTTTACTCACTCATTTTCTCTTGCTCACACGCACTCCATTTTCTCGTTCTCAATTAATTTTGTATATGACATGTTTAGGCAAAGAAAAACATTTTATCAATACAAAATGGAAAAGATATTAGAGAAGAATGCCAGATTACTCACGGCACTCTGATAAGTCTTATATACCATGGAGGGTATACAGGATTCATATACACATGTTTTTGACTTGGTGCATATCTCTCTCAATGAGGTGAAGATAAGACCATCAATCATTATAATGTCTTGCTAAATATACCATGGAGGGTAGAGGATACATGATTCATATAAACATGTTTTTGACTTGGTGCATATCTCTCTCAATTAGGTGAAGATAGGACCATCAATCATTATAATGTCTTGCTAAATTTAGACAGCTGTAGTTGCGTAGACAACAGTAGTGTGTATATATACTATAATTGTGTATATACACATATACACTGTAAGAGTTTGAGACCCCTCTTGTCCCACATCAGGCAACAATATTTTTTCACTAACCTTTATATAGGCTTATTTCTTCTTCTTAGTATTTAGAACTTGGACCATTTGAAAATGGATTGAAGGCTTGAATCTTATGGTTGTGTGGATTAGGCTTGAATATAATATAGCCTAAATACAATTAATATTAATTAATCAAGACAAGGGCTTGGGGCACTTGGGGCCTTGAAATTTAAAATTAATCAAATTCATTCATTTTAATTTTTGGATTAAGTTTTTAATTAATTTATTAATTAAAAATGTTTTGATTAAAAGACACAACTATTAGAAAGAGTTGTGTACTTTCAAATACACTGAATAGGTATTTGAAAGGGTGTGAAACAACCTGTATATTTGCAATCACAGTATCCAAGTGAAATCATCATTTCTTCCTCTTTTTCTTCCGTACGAAATTTCCAGAGAGTAAGCACACAAAGCAAATTCGCTAGAATTCTAGTATCCAGTGCGGGTTGTAGAATTAGGTAGTTAAATCCTGGTCGAGCAGACGTTGTAGAACCACAAATACAAAAGTGGGACGAAAATACTATTTGAAGGACACAGCTTTTACGCTAGCCTCTACCTTCTGTGATCAAGTTAGTATCATTGATATTCTTATATTAGTTTATGTATTTATTGTATAATTTCATTATGCACATCAAGTATTTTTGGTTAATAAAATATTAGAATTTCAAGTTCTGTTTATTTCTGTTATTTTTTGTTTGTTTATTTCTGAATTGTTCTCTAACAACAGTCTCCAAAAATCCGACTTTGGGCCTGATTTTGTGACCGTATTAACCGAGACAGAACCTCAATCTTTCAAGGAGGCCATGTCCACTCTTGAAACTCCATTTTGGAAGGATGCAGTTCACAGTGAGATAGATTTCATTATGCAAAATCATACATAGGAATTAGTCGATTTTCCCCCTAGCAATAAGCCAATTGGGTACAAATGGATCTTTAAGATGAAATTAAAACCTGATGGTACAGTTGACAAATACAAGGCTCATTTGGTAGCTTAAGGATACCGTCAAAAATATGGTTTGGATTTCTTTGATACATACTCGCCTGTAACGAGAATTACATTAATAAGATTGTTGATTGCTATAGCTGCATTCCATAACATGGAAATACATCAAATGGATGTAAAGACTGCATTTTTAAATGGAGACTTAGATGAGGAAATATATATGGAACAACTCGAGGGGTTTGTGGTTAAAGGTCAAGAACACAAAGTTTGTAAACTTGTGAAATCACTATATAGGCTTAAACAAGCTCCAAAGCAATGGCATGAAAAATTTGACCATATTATGATATCACACAGTTTTAAGATAAATGAGTGTGATAAGTGTGTCTACACAAAAACTCAAAATAATGCTTGCGTTATGTTGTGTTTATATGTAGATGATGTGCTTATAATGGGAACTAACAAAGAGATGATAAATTGGACCAAGAAGATATTGAAATCAAGTTTCGATATGAAAGACCTTGGACTAGCTGATGTGATTCTTGGTGTAAAAATAAAAAGAAACCAATAAGGATATATTCTTACACAGTCCCATTATATAGAAGCTACACTTAGAAAATATGGTCATTTGGAAAGTAAAGATGCGATTACTCCTTTTGATGCCAATAGCAAACTTAAGAAAAATAGAGGTGATGCTATATCTCAACATGAATACTCACAAGTTATTGGAAGTCTTATGTATATTATGAATTGTCCAAGGCTTAATATAGCATACTCAATGAGTAGACTGGGTAGATATACATGCAATCTTAGGCATGATCATTGGGAAGCTTTAATTTGAGTATTGAGATACTTAAAGCATACAATGAATTATGGATTGCATTATATGAGGTACCCTCCTGTGCTTGAAGGATTTAGTGATGCGAATTGGATATTGGATAGTACTGATACGAAATCCACAAGTGGATATGTATTTACTTTACTTTAGGAGGAGCAGCAATATCCTGGAAATCTTCCAAACAAACATGCATAGCCCGATAAACTATGGAATCAGAATTTATCGCTCTTGATATGTCTGGAGGAGAAGCTGAGTGGCTAAGAGGTTTTTTCGAGGATGTTCCCATATGGCCTAAACCTGTAACGGCAATATGTATATATTGTGATAGTTTACCTGCACAATATCGAGCTAAAAATAGTGTATACAATGGGAAGTCTAGACAAATTAGACGAAGGCATAATACTATAAAGCAATGGCTCTCTAGTGGTGTAATTTCTATTGACTATGTTAAGTCAAAAGATAATATTGCGGATCCGCTTACTAAAGGTTTGTCTAGAGAGCAAGTTAAGCATACGTTGAGGGGAATGAGTTTAAAGCCAATAGAGTAAAATGAAACTGCCAAACAGAAACCTAACCTAGTTGATTGGAGATCTCATGGTCTAGGTTCAATAGGCAAACTGGTTTGGCTAGATTCAAGAAGAAACACACTTACATACCTATTCCTATAGTGGAAGAAGTGTGGTGACTGCTGATGGTGTAAGATACATTAGTTTAATGATATTGATACTTGTAAATCAAGTGGAATAGTAGCAGCCTTCTGAAGGAAAATTTGTGACAAACATGTTCATTTAAGCAACATTAATAGCATGCAATTAACAATTAAAGGCGGAATCATGCTTGTATGCACTTAAAACAAAACATTTACCCATGAAATTCAAAGCCTAGTAGATAGGTGAACCAAGACTCAACTCAAAACAAAGTGAGTTGAGAAATCAATACCTTTGTAGATTCCTCTTTGCATAAGCAAAGGTTAATCACCCAAAGAAAGGGCCTTCATTCCTTGCATCTTAGATCCATGGATTTGGATGGATGAAAAGGTTTCTCCAAGTTCCCAAAATTGAGAACCTCTAATTATTCATCACCAAGGCATAATGAAGAAGAAATGAGTGACCTTGGAGGAGTTTGATTGCTAGATGATCCCTCCAAGGTTGGCCAAAATTTTAGAGAGAAAGGAGAGCTTGTGTTCTCATCCTTTCCCCCAAAAATAACCCTTAGTAAATTTTAGGCTATAAAGTCCTTTATATAGTCCCTTCAAATAAGTGACCTAATGGACCAAAAGCCCTATTCTTTTACACATGGCCGGCCTATAGATTTATTGGGCTTTCAAGCCCTTTGTTTATTCAAGTTGTCATACAACTTGAGTTAATGGGCTTGACATTCAAATCCCATTGGGCCTTGCGGCCCAAAACTAACCCAATGTCTTTAACGAACTTATTCGTTTGATTAATTAACATATTAATTAATCCTAACCTTAGATAAATAATTAAACCATTTAATTATTCTTACTCATCTCCGTTGTTTCTTCAAACTCTACCTTACTCGGTGAACGATCCATTAGGTTCCTTTTAGCGAGGCAGTGGGTGATTAAAACTCTTTCTAATCGATTGTGAATTGAAACTTACTTTCAATTCTCCCGTTAGTGATAATACACTTTTAGGGCTTCCACAAACCATGGTTGACGCCTAGCAGCATGTCATGGTTACCCAAGCTAATCAGAAGAGGTGGAGAACCTATTCAGTTTTAGGATTACAAATGCAATACGGTCTTTCTCTAATACAATACTCTTGACCACATTGTTTGGTTTGATAGTTTATTCATGTCTACTATCCAATGTGAATCTTGTACTTATATGATTACCTTGAATGTGATCTGGAACGCATTCCAACATCTCATTCATACTCTGGCCAGAGATTCTAAATCATATCATAGAGTATTCTCCCTCAAACAGTTTGAAGGTTAGAGATCCCTTGTTGCGCATTCACTTGCCTCCATGGCTAAGTGGCTTAACCCCGACGATGCCGTGGACACCCTGATAGAGTGACTTTGACATAATCAAAGATCAAGTACCTAACCACAAGACAGCTGTGATGCCTCAGGTCAAAGGACTACTTTGCATTATCCCAACCATGAGTTCTCATGTGACATGAATATGAGAACTCTTCGTTGATCGTGTTCGGTGAACTCATTCTCTATTGAGCACCTACGTACTTGTCTTGATGTCACACACACCAATGACTCGAGACTAGTCACTCTCCCTGAGAGAAGACATAGCACGTACTGATCTTAACGGACTATCAATGCCCAATTGACAATCCTATGATCAGGAACGTTTAGGATGTGTCAACAAAAGAATGGTCTCATGAATCTAACTTCTTT